CGTCCCGTTAGGATTGCCTATTTGCAAGTAAAACAAAATACATTAAAAGGAGTTTACACAGTTTTAGAACCGAATGGAAAGTTCTACATTAGAGAAAAAAACTGCAGACAAAATGAAAGAGGATTTGCTGGGATTTCGGCTAACAGATGTGAAGACATTTCAACTAAGATACGCGCTTAACTTTGTATGTCTGAGAGAGAGAGAGAGTTTGAAGAAGCGTATTCTAAATTCCTTACGCAATTTATGCTTCAAATTGCGGCCAATACAATTAAAATCAATTCAAACGCGCTATTTGAAATGGGATTTCGCACATAATGCCTGAATTTCTGTCAGAGTATAGCACTAATAAGTTGATTCTCACAGACACCAAAAAAAAAAATTTCCTGGAAAAATGAGACCAAGCCAGGCGCGTTGAGGATTGGCGAATAAGGGGAAGAAGGTGGAATTAAAAAAGAGAGGCCATCCTTTCCACTGGGAAAGGACACAGAGCCATTTGAGAAAGTGACTATAGGTGAAATTTGTGTTTAAAGGTCCGAAAACTTTGATGTGATCAAAAGGACATCTAAAGGCGCTGTTATTCCCTATAATTAGTGGAAATGATCAAAGTTTATACTGGAAACTAACCAAACATGGGGAGGTGCAAAAGAGTCCTGTAAGGCATTCAACGAACAGAAATGGACAACAAGGTAAAAACATCAAGAGACTTGCCTCATATGAATTCTTAATGTAGTGATTTTTCGCTTTCTCGCAAGGAGGAGGATGATCCGTGGTGTTTCAAATTTAATTATTTGACCCCCCCTCACCCCAAGATTCCCAGGTAAATGCATTCCTATATTCGGGGCCTAATTGATTTGTTGATTCAATTAAGCAGTGAGTGATGCAACCTTGACAGAGACAAGTAAATTAATCTAGCAAAGACAATTTTATTGTGGAATATCTCATGACTGACTTTTATTTTAACTTGCAAATATAAAAAAATGAATAGATGCGGAGAAAATTTTCAAAGCCAAAACATGGGGATAACTCCCAGATTCTGTTCTCAACCCCCCCCTCCCCCGGAATGGCAAGAGTGCAAATAGCTTCTCCACGAAGTCCATTACTAAGCCTACGTTCATGGAAAAGAAATGACTTTGTAAAAACTAAAACCTCAATAAAAAAACAATAAAATCCCACTTATTGTAAAAGAATTCATTAATTTAGGATTAAATATCGAACCATTTTTCTGATATTAACTCCAATGATCAAATTAAAAATGGGTATTTCCGAAATGGGTTTGAGTAACTTTGTGTACTCATCGATGGAACCTTGAACAACAAATTGGAACATTCAATAAAAAAGCACTTTGTGAACTATTCATGGTAGCGAAGGCAGGTAAAAGGGTACATTCTTATAATAAATCTGGTCAAGAATATAAATAAATTAAACAATCCTAAAAAAGGTCAAATGTTAGATAATGTCTCGGAAATATTTCAAAGCACTTTTTCTACCTGCTGACTTATGTTAAAATCTTATCCCAATTCGTTTGACAATTTAACCGACTTTTCCGAATCTTGGATAAAAATATATTTCCTTATAGTCTGTAAGTGAATTATCAATTCTTTAGAAAATACGTAATTAGCCACAACGCTTGGCCTTTTCTACTTTCCGAAAATGCGCGTATTTCATCATCAGTTCTAGCTTCCACCTATCTCAAGGTAGTAATCTTCGTACATATAAGAAAGGTTTTAAGTTCAGCTTGTTTACGCGAACAATATCGTCGCTATATAACTGGAAATGACCTCCTATTTTCAATGCTCTATGCTCTAAGGACAACACTAGATCAAATTTAACAAAATCCCTATCTAGCAGACATTAAATTCAAATTTTTTAGATAAGGTGGTGTTATTAAAAGCAATGAGCAATAAAGGCGGTTGGATCACGGTTAATTGGCTGGGCCAGTTTATGCTCAGTTCGCTCACCTCGTTGCTATGACGTCAGAACTGACCAGACATTAAGGGTAGGATCTATGCTCATTTTTGTCTCGCTAGTGGTTGGGTATTTTCTGCTAATGTTTAGTTGAGAAACAAAAAAATAATAAACAACACTTTGAGAAAAATTTAAACACGTAGAAGCTAGTCAACACAATATGGGCAGGAAAATTCGAAACTCCAGGCAAACAAATATTTAGAAAACGTGGACGACGCTAAACTCCTTTCTAAAAAAAAATGAATAATCGAATAAACAAACTGTTTCTCCCATAAAAAAATCCACAGTAGAATGCACTTAGCACATAGTTCTACTTGAACCCAAACTAAGCATGTGCATTTGCCTGCAATTGCCTTGACCACCAGAAACTCTACCACTGTGACCTTGGGTTTCGCATGACAGATTTATTCAGTCTCCGCTGCATGCATGGATCCGAAAACATGTACTTCAACTAACGATGCTTCACAGACTCTTTGCACTCGAATAAACGGTTTCCTAGATAAGTAATACTTGCCGATGGTTTGCCACAATTCTGATGCCCATAAGGAACTGCTTTCCAACGAACCAGAAGTTAATTAAATAAACATTTACATAATGACTATTAAGGGAGAGGGACCATGGCTTTTGAAGTTTGGGAAAAAATATACTTGTACAAGTTCAAAAAAGCTTAAACTAAGGAATATCCCTTAAAATAGCTAATAAACTTCCTAGGGGCAACAACGCGAATAAGAAAATGCCGATCTAAACGGGGGGTCACGAGTACGTTGGAGACGTTGGTAAGAAATGAGAGAAAAGAAAGGCGCGGAACTTGAAAACAGGAACAAGAAAAACAATGCAAAATCACCTGATGGTTAGAACATTGCTGGTGAGTCAACGTGTGCGTTCGATGAAACGTTAGAGGCGCGAAGGTAGAAAACACTTCCTTCGGGAGAGCTAAGAGTGCCGTTTATTATTTATTTGTCTTTTCCAGAAGGGGCATTTCTCCAACGGAATACTTTACACTGGGAGAAACCAACGCAGTAAGACTGCTTAATGCATCTCATTAACATTTTACTAGAATTCTTTTGCTTTTCTCCCAACTTTCTTTCTAAAAGGTGAAGGACACTAGTTTCTTGTGAAATTGCGGAAATCTAAAAAAATATGCATCTATACTTTTAGTCTATTAGAAAATCAGAAATAGGTAATCAAAAAATGAAAATTTGCATTCATGCTAACCCTTTTGAAGTGATTTAAAGCGGTAGGATAAAATGGGCTGAAATGACGGACAGGGTGAAACAGTATAACTAATAGCCAAGTAGAAAAAAATGAATAAACCCATATGTACTTTAATGAATCCTTGACACTGATTAATGAAAACGATTCGACTGGAAGGATATAATTGTACCCACTAGTAGGGAATCGGGTAAAGCTTAGACTATCCACCATTGCTTATCAAATTAACCAAGTTTTCTATCCTCTCCCGATCGTCTTGTTTCTGTTTATCGGTTTTACTCCACTATCTACCAAGAACATAAGTCTGATAGTTAGCCAATCAATTTTGTGGCATTGATTTCATGTTCTAATGCATTATCCCTTCCTCACTCGTGGTAGTGCTGTTCGTAGAAAAACAAACATAAATATTTTTATGCTTAACAATTTTCTAAGGGAGATTATATCTTACAGCATACACATCTGTACATAATGTAATAGCGGGACAAGAACTCACTTTAGCTAAATTTTAATTAAAGTACGAATGAACGCAAGCGCAATTAGTGCGTTACATTTATCAATGTCACTGACTTAGTCTCGATATGTATAAAATAGATGAACTAACAAAGTGTTCAGCAAACAAACACTTGTCCATTTCCACCACCACCCCACAAATGCTGGCGTAGTTGTACCTAGTGAACAACCCATATTGAAAGTGCATGTGTGTACTCTTGCCCCCACTTCAGAACCCACACTTACAAGTCCTGATAACGGGCATTCCCTTCTATGCTGAGTATAAAAGGAAATAAAAGCCTCATCGACCTTCGAATTTGTTTGTCAATACTAATTAGATTTAGCATATGTGTCTACCCCCTTCACACCATCTCGTGTATGACTCATCCTCCCCCCCCCCCCCCCCTCCCCCCCCT